AGTCTTCTCTGATTGATTCCCCCAGTATTCTAGAGGATTCTATAATTACAGTGGGAGGAAGAACAGAGTGAGCAGCCTGAATATTTATGGGATTCCAGCCAATCCCTGAGGAGGTGTGCCTAGCAGGAGGTGGGAGAGCCCATAAATAGACTGTGGCCTGAGGCAGGAACATCAAAGTTCCTGGCTCCAGTCCTGCTGGAGGAGACCCCTGTGAAGGGGCTCTGCCCCTGAGGCAGGACTGTTGGAGACACCATCTAGAACACATTAAGGTTGCAGCTCAAGCTTCAGCTGGGGGGCCAATGGGGTTAAAGCAATGGCTTTGTCTGCATTTTGACAACTTGGATTTGCATACACTTAAATCAGTGGTCCCCAAACTGTGGCCCAAGGCCCTTTACTTGCCTTTATGTGTCTCTTGGGCACTATTCCTCTCATTGATACAAGGCACTATTCACTCCTACTGACACTACTGCTGAGGCATCATTCTTTCCACAAACACCAACAGTGGGGCAAATTCCTTCCACATCTGAACACTATTCCTCCCACTAACACCAATGATGGGGCACTATTCCTCCCACTGACACCAATGATGGGGCACTATTCCTCCCACTGACACCAATGATGGGCACTATTTACACCCTACTGCTGATACATTCTTTCCACAACCACCAATGGGCACTATTCCTCCCACTGACACCAATGATGGGGAACTATTCCTTCCATTGATACCACTGATGGGGCACTATTCCTCCCACTGACACCAATGATGGGGCACTATCCCACCCACTGACACCAACAATGGGCACTATTCCTGCCACTGACACCAAGGATAGCAGAACTATTCCTGCCTACAAATAATGGGGTTCTATTCTTTCCACTGACACCAACAATGGGGCACTATCCCTACCCACTGACTATTCCAACAATGGGGCACTATTCCTTCCACTGACACAAACGATGGGGAACTATTCCTGCCACAAATGATGAGGTTCTATTCTTTCCACTGACACCAAACGATGGGGCACTATTCTTCTGCCACAAATGATGGGGATTCTATTCTTGCCACAAATGATGGGATTCTATTCTTTCCACTGACACCAACGATGGGGCACTACTCCTGCCACAAATGATGAGGTTCTATTCTTTCCACTGACACCAATGATGGGGCACTATTCCTTGCCACAAATGATGGGATTCTATTCCTTTCAATGACACCAATGATGGGGCACTGTTCCTGCCACTGACACCAATGATGGGGCACTATTCCTGCCACAAATGATGGGGTTCTATTCTTTCCACTGACACCAATGATGGGGCACTATTCCTCCTCCTTCTGACCACAGGCGCTGTGTAATTTTTTGCTCCCACTGACCAACAAGCTGAGGCATTCTTTACACTCACTGGCTATAGTGAGCCACTGGCCATCCTAAAGTCTGAAGGACAGTACAGTGGCGCTCCTGAAGTCTGAAGGACAGTACGCTGGCCCTCCTCTGAAGGCAGTACTCTGGCATTCCTAAAGTCTGAAGGACAGTACACTGGCCCTCCTAAAGTCTGAAGGACAGCACGCTGGCCCTCCTAAAGTCTGAAGGACAGCACGCTGGCCCTCCCTGAAGGACAGCAGCCCTCCTAAAGTCTGAAGGACAGTACGCTGGCCTCTAGAGTGACAGTACTCTGGCCCTCCTAAAGTCTGAAGGACAGCACGCTGGCCCTCTTAAAGTCTGAAGGACAGTACGCTGGCCCTCCTAGATTCTGAAGGACAGTACGCTGGCCCTCCTAAAGTCTGAAGGACAGTACGCTGGCCCTCCTAGAGTCTGAAGGACAGTACGCTGGCCCTCCTAAAGTCTGAAGGACAGTACACTGGCCCTCCTAAAGTCTGAAGGACAGTACGCTGGCCCTCCTAGAGTCTGAAGGACAGTACTCTGGCCCTCCTAGAGTCTGAAGGACAGTACTCTGGCCCTCCTAAAGTCTGAAGGACAGTACACTGGCCCTCCTAGAGTCTGAAGGACAGTACACTGACCCTCCTAGAGTCTGAAGGACAGTACGCTGGCCCTCCTAGAGTCTGAATGACAGTACGCTGGCCCTCCTAGAGTCTGAAGGACAGTACGCTGGCCCTCCTAGAGTCTGAAGGACAGTACGCTGGCCCTCCTAGAGTCTGAATGACAGCACGCTGGCCCTCCTAGAGTCTGAAGGACAGTACGCTGGCCCTCCTAGAGTCAGAAGGACAGTACGCTGGCCCTCCTAGAGTGAGAAGATCAGTACGCTGGTCCTCCTAGAGTCAGAAGGACAGTACGCTGGCCCTCCTAGAGTCAGAAGGACAGTACGCTGGCCCTCCTAGAGTCAGAAGGACAGTACGCTGGCCCTCCTAGAGTCAGAAGGACAGTACGCTGGCCCTCCTAGAGTCAGAAGGACAGTACGCTGGCCCTCCTAAAGTCAGAAGGACAGTACGCTGGCCCTCCTAGAGTGAGAAGATCAGTACGCTGGTCCTCCTAGAGTCAGAAGGACAGTACACTGGCCCTCCTAGAGTCAGAAGGACAGTACGCTAGCCCTCCTAAAGTCTGAAGGACAGTACACTGGCCCTCCTAGAGTGAGAAGATCAGTACGCTGGTTCTCCTAGAGTCAGAAGGACAGTACGCTGGCCCTCCTAGAGTCAGAAGGACAGTACGCTGGCCCTCCTAAAGTCAGAAGGACAGTACGCTGGCCCTCCTAAAGTTTGAAGGACAGTACGCTGGCCCTTCTAAGATCTGAAGGACGGTACGCTGCCCCTTCTAAAATTTGAAGGACGGCACGCTGGCCCTCCTAAAGTCAGAAGGACAGTACGCTGGCCCTCCTAAATTCAGAAGGACAGTACGCTGGCCCTCCTAAAGTCAGAAGGACAGTACGCTGGCCTTTTGTTGAAAAAGTTTGAAGACCCCTGACTTACATGAAGGCGAGAATGCAATGGGCTTGGTGACAGCGAGGATGAACCTGGAAACGCACGCTACATTTTTGTGTGCTCTGATCCAGAGCTGTTCCAAACATTACCATCAACCATAAAGAGTCACCGAGCAAGCTGGCCAATGCGGAAAGGGGGGGGGGGGTGCTAGCTTGAAATGAACGCCATCTGTGCAGCTACGCCGTTTATCCAATCATTTTAATTGCCATATTTTCTCCCTCAGAGGACTGCGCCTTTAAGTGATCGCGCGTAGCGCACGCTCCGTAGTTAATGGAAGAAAAGTCCTCTGTTGTCATCGCCTAGTCCTCCAAACAAACATCCTTTTAATGAAGCGGTGTAATCAGATTTTTGCTTTGTAAAATTACACCGATTCCGTAATGAAATGGTTTAATTTTCTCCCCGTACAGTGAAGGTAAACGTCGAGCTAATGATCTAGATAAAATAATAGCATTTTAAGTGCCATTATATAGTGAGGGGAAAGAAGTTAAACGAGTAATACAACTCATTAAATTATCCGACTTCAAATGGATCTTTGGAGCTGTGCGTTGTAAGATAAATTTCGAGGGGGGGGGGGGAGGGGTGGAGGAAAGAAGCAAGTTAGCGGATACTCGACTTAAAGCGGAATTGCAGCCAAACCGCTCAATTTAATTGTGTGTATGGGAGCCGGAATACGTGCCAAAAGATTTGTCATTCTGTTCATTCCGTTGTGGAAATATCTTCATCGGGATTTGCAGAATTTTTCAACAGTCATGGACCATTTATGGCAAATGTCACCCCACCTGGAAAATTTTCCCCAAATATTGGGGAGTCTAATTGTAAGCTTTAGGCTTAGTTTATTTATTTATTTCAGGTACTTATATAGCGCTGTCAATGTACGCAGCGCTTTACATATATATTGTACATTCCCATCAGTCCCCGCCCCTGAGGGGTGTACAATCTAAGGTCCCTAACCCTCAAGGGGGTGTACAATCTAAGCTCCCTAACCCTCAAGGGCGTACAATCTAAGCTCCCTAACCCTCAAGGGGCGTACAATCTAAGGTCCCTAACCCTCAAGGGGTGTACAATCTAAGGTCCCTAACCCTCAAGGGGCGTACAATCTAAGGTCCCTAACCCTCAAGGGGCGTACAATCTAAGTCCCTCACCCTCAAGGGGCGTACAATCTAAGGTCCCTCACCCTCAAGGGGCGTACAATCTAAGGTCCCTCACCCTCAAGGGGCGTACAATCTAAGGTCCCTCACCCTCAAGGGGCGTACAATCTAAGGTCCCTCACCCTCAAGGGGCGTACAATCTAAGGTCCCTCACCCTCAAGGGGCGTACAATCTAAGGTCCCTCACCCTCAAGGGGCGTACAATCTAAGGTCCCTCACCCTCAAGGGGCGTACAATCTAAGGTCCCTAACCCTCAAGGGGTGTACAATCTAAGGTCCCTAACCCTCAAGGGCGTACAATCTAAGGTCCCTAACCCTCAAGGGGTGTACAATCTAAGGTCCCTAACTCACATTCATACAGACACATACTAGGGCCAATTTAGACAGCCGATTAACCTACTGGCATGTCTTTGGTGTGTGGCAGGGAACCGGAGTACCTGGAGGAAACCCACACAGGCACAGGAAGAACATGCAAACTCCAGGCAGGTGGTACCGTGGCTGGAACTCGAACCAACGACCCCGAGTACTGCCAGGCTAACCACTAAGCCACTGTGCTGCCCAGTTTACACTTATGGTTGGGGACAGTAAAAAACGTGTGGTTTGAGAAATGTTTTCACTACCCCCAACAGCTCGCCCTTAAACTGCAAAGGGAGCGGGGGGGGGGGGAATATAGGGCGTGGCCACGATATTTAGCATCATAACATGGCAAAAATGACCCCCTCAAATTCAACTGAATGGGAGTGCCCCACTGCATGCTGGTGCTTAAGGTGTTTAAAACGGGTGGCGAGGAGACAATATAACTCCCCCTCACCGTCTGGCAATCGCCATCTGAGTGCCTCTGCATGTGTGAATGAGCCCTTAGTGGGGGGGGTGTGGGGGGGGGCAGTGTCACCATTGTGGGAGGGGCAGAGGCACAAACTACGGGGGGGAAATCTCACCATTGTGGGAGGGGCAGAGACACAAACTACTGGGGGGAAATCTCCCCATTGTGGGAGGGGCAGAGACACAAACTACTGCAGGAAATCTCCCCATTGTGGGAGGAGCAGAGACACAAACTACTGCAGGAAATCTCCCCATTGTGGGGGAGGGGCAGAGACACAAACTACTGTTGGAAATATCACCATTGTGGGAGGGGCAGAGACACAAACTACCACAGGGAAAGCCCCCCATTGTGGGAGGGGGCAGAGACACAAACTACTACTGTTGGAAATATCACTATTGTGGGAGGGGCAGAGATACAAACTACTGCAGGAAATTCCCCAATTGTGGGAGGGCAGAGAGACAAACTACCACAGGGAAAGCCCCCCATTGTGGGAGGGGGCAGAGAGACAAACTACTGCAGGAAATCTCACCATTGTGGGAGGGGCAGAGACACAAACTACTGGGCGGAAATCTCCCCTTTGTGGGAGGGGCAGACACAAGCTACTATTGGAAATATCACCATTGTGTGGGAGGGGCATAAATACAAACTACAGGAGGGTAAATCTCTCCTTTGTGGGAGGGGCAGAGACACAAACTACAGGAGGGTAAATCTCACATTTTGTGGGAGGGGCAGAGACACAATCTACTGTAGGGAAACCTCACCAGCTACTGTTTGTCAATTTTCTTAAAGTAGTCTTAGGCTCCAATTCACCTACTTGTACGTTTTTGGAAACCTGTATAAACACATATGGACAAGATGGTCTTGGATGTCAAGGTCATTTATTGTAGCCCGGGGTGCTCCACCTGTGGCCACCACATGTGGCCCATGGAGCCCTCTGATGTGGCCCTCCACCTCAAACCAGGAAAGTGCACTTCTATTATACCCTGCAGGTTTGGTGTTTTTTTCAGAAAGTGCACACCCGCAGGTGCAAGGTGCGGGTAAACCACAGCGCATCAGTGTGGAAGCAGCCTTATAGGGGGCTTAGGACAGTTAGGGCTCATTTAAATTTGAGATTTGGGGGGTGATTAAACTCCACCACTGGTGTAGTGTCAGGGTTCTCAATGGCGACCTTGCTCCATGCTCCAGGGGGCCCATACGGCCTCCCTGTCACATTCTTTTTAAACTTGGACAGGAGGAGCGGCATATACAGGAACTAATCCTCTCCTGCAACCGCCGGCTTCTTCTTCTCTCCCTCCTGTCGGCATTCAGTGGGAGGAAAATGTTCAATGTGCTATTTAACCACTTCCTGTCTGGCCGCTGTATATAAACAGCCAGGCGGTGGCAGTGCAGGGGCGAGTTGCCGTTCATAAATGGCGTCCAACATTTTGGACTGTGCGCACTCCCTGGAGGCGCGCAGCAATGCGATCCAGTGCCCGCTGTGTCCTCCGGACACAGTGGAACACCGCTCGTCGTACGGGACCTCTGTGAAAGGTCCCGATCATGTGATCACTGATTGGCCAATCAGTGATCACATGCAGAGTAGTAAGCAAGATTTCACTTCTGACACATTGCTTACTACGTGTGAAATCTGTGAATGATCACCGAGGTCACATGGTACAAGGCTATTCACAACAGCCTTGTACCATGTGACAAGCTGTGACCAATCCCAGCTCACACAGTAGTTCTCAATGGCTGCAAGAATGCAGCCAGAGAGAAGGAGAAATTATTGTTTTTACAGCCCTTGTGGGTGTAAAAGCAATCAGTGTAAAAGAAAAATCGTTATCACCCCCACAAGTAGTACAGTGACACTGTACTGTTAGGATGACAGTATGTAAAAAAATGTAAATAATAATATAAAAAAATAAAATAAAAATGTAAAAACATTTTTTTTAAAAATTATAATTTTTGCTTATAAACTAATTTGGGTTATTTTTTTTTTCAAAATTTTTGGACATTTTCATTTATATTGCAAAAAAAATAAAAATCCCAGTGGTAAATAAATACCACCAAAATAAAGCTTTATCTGCCTCAAAAAACTGCTAAAAAATTCATATGGGTACAGTGTTGCATGACCGCGCAATTGTCATTCAAAGTGTGATAGCGCTGAAAGCTGAAAATTGGCCTGGCAGGAAGGGGGTGAAAGTGTCCTGACTGGAAGGGGGGGAAATTGTCCGGACTGGAAGGGGGGGAAAGTGTCCGGACTGGAAGGGGGGGGATAGTGTCCAGGACTGGAAGGGGGGGGAAAGTGTCCGGACTGGAAGGGGGGGGAAAGGTCCTGACTGGAAGGGGGTGAAAGTGTCCGGACGAAAGGGGGGGAAAGTGTCCGGACTGGAAGGGGGGAAAGTGTCCTCACTGGAAGGGGGGGAAAGTGTCCGGACTGGAAGGGGGGGAAAAGTGTCCGGACTGGAAGGGGGGGGAAAGTGTCCTAGACAGGAAGGGGGTGAAAGTGTCCGGACTGGAAGGGGGGGAAATTGTCCGGACTGGAAGGGGGGGAAAGTGTTGGGACTGGAAGGGGGGAAAGTGTCTGGAATGGAAGGGGGGGGGGGGAATTGTCCGGACTGGAAGGGGGGGGAAATTGTCAGGACTGGAAGGGGGGGGAAAGTGTCCTAGACTGGAAGGGGGTGAAAGTGTCCGGACTGGAAGGGAGGGAAAGTGTCCGGACTGGAAGGGGGGGAAATTGTCTGGACTGAAGGGGGGGAAAAAGTGTTGGACTGGAAGAGGGGGGGGTGAAAGTGTCAGGAATGGAAGGGGGGGGGAGTGTCCGGCCTGGAAGGGGGGGGATAGTGTCGGACTGAAGGGGGGGAAAGTGTCCGGACTGGAAGGGGGGGAATAGTGTCCGGACTGGAAGAGGGGTGAAAGTGTCCAGACTGGAAGGGGGGGAAAGTGTTCCGGACTGGAAGGGGGTGAAAGTGTCCGGACTGAAGGGGGGGAAAGTGTCAGACTGGAAGGGGGGAAAGTGTCCGGACTGGAAGGGGGTGAAAGTGTCCGGACTGGAAGGGGGGGAAAGTGTTTGGACTGGAAGGGGGTGAAAGTGTCCGGACTGGAAGGGGGGAAAGTGTCCAGACTGGAGAGGGGGGTGTGAAAGGGTCTGGACTGGAAGGGGGGGAAAGTGTCCGGACTTGAAGTGGTTAAAATAAAAAAATGCTAAATTCGTAACCATTTCATTTCATTGTTGGCCCGCGACCGGTTGCCAAATCACTTAAGTGGCCCTCGCTCTTCAGAAGGATGAGCACCCCTGTTGTGGCCGATGCAGAATGTGTAATATATGGGCAGCCAATATTATAACATTAATATTTCTGCCCTGTATGCAGAATCCTGTTTTTCAAGGCGGCACGCAGCATTCTTTGCTCTTCCTCTTCAGGAATTGGCCTATGAAGGATATGAAAACCTGGGCTCTTTTTCTGGTTCACAAAGCGGTAAAGTTTTGTTCCCGGAAATGTTCCCAGGCTGCCTCCGCACTGCTGTTTATTTTCTTATCTTTTGAAGAAAGAGTGACAATGGCTCTCTTCTCGTTCTGTAGCGTGTATTGTAGCGATGAAGCAATCCATGCAACTAAATTCTTCTATGTCGGCTGAATCCTAATAATATATTCAGCAGGCAGAGCCCTTGTAATGTTTCCATACAGGCCACCCGGCATTTCATGTTTTGGGCTATGGTGGCTACTGAACCTGGCCGCTCTTTATAAAGAACAGAATGCCAGGTAAGTCAATAACTGCAACATACACTCACCGGCCTCTTTATTAGGTCCACCTGTTCAATTGTTTGGTAACACAAATTGCTAATCAGCCAATCACATGGCAGCAGCTCAAAGCATTTAGGCATCTAGACGTGGTGAAAACAACTTGCTGAAGTTCAAACTGAACATTAGAATGGGGAAGAAAAGGGATTTAAGTGACTATGAATGTGTCATGATTGTTGGTACCAGACGGGCTGGTCTGAGTATTTAAAAAACTGCTGATCTACTGGGATTTTCACACACAACCATCTCTAGGATTTACAGAAAATGGTCCAAAAAAGAGAAAATATCCAGTGAGTGGCAGTTGTGTGGATGAAAATGCCTTGTTGATGTCAGAGGAGAATGGGCAGACTGGTTGCTGCGACATTTAGATGGTACGGTCAGAATTTGGCTTAAACAACACAAAAGCATGGATCCATCCTGCCTTGTATCAATGGTTCAGGCTGGTGGTGGTGGTGTCATGGTGTGGTGGATCCATCCTGCCTTGTATCAACGGTTCAGGCTGGTGGTGTCATGGTGTGGGGGATCCATCCTGCCTTGTATCAATGGTTCAGGCTGTGGTGGTGGTGTCATGGTGTGGGGGATCCATCCTGCCTTGTATCAACGATTCAGACTGGTGATGGTGGTGGTGTCATGGTGTGGTGGATCCGTCTTGCCTTGTATCAATGGTTCAAGCTGGTGCTGGTGGTGGTGTCATGGGGTGGTGGATCCCTCCTACCTTGTATCAATGGTTCAGGCTGGTGGTGGTGTCATGGTGTGGTGGATCCGTCTTGCCTTGTATCAACAATTCAGGCTGGTGGTGGTGGTGTCATGGTGTGGTGGATCCGTCCTGCCTTGTATCAATGGTTCAGGCTGGTGGTGGTGGTGTCATGGTGTGGTGGATCCATCCTGCCTTGTATCAATGGTTTCAGGGTGATGGTATGGTGTCATGGTGTGGTGGATTCATCCTGCCTTGTATCAACGATTCAGGCTGGTGATAGTGGTGTCATGGTGTGGTGGATCCGTCCTGCCTTGTATCAATGGTTCAGGCTGGTGGTGGTGTCATGGGGTGGTGGATCCGCCCTGCCTTGTATCAATGGTTCACGGCTGGTGGTGGTGGTGTCATGGTGTGGTGAATCTGTCCTGCCGTGTATCAATGGTTCAGGCTGATGGTGGTGGTGTCATGGTGTGGTGGATTCGTCCTGCCTTGTATCAATGATTCAGGCTGGTGGTGTCATGGTGTGGTGGATCCGTCCTGCCTTGTATCAACGGTTCTGCTGCTGGTGGTGTCATGGGGTGGTGATCCATCCTGCCTTGTATCAATGGTTCAGGCTGATGGTGGTGGTGTCATGGTGTGGTGGATTTTGTCCTGCCTTGTATCAATGATTCAGGCTGGTGGTGTCATGGTGTGGTGGATCCGTCCTGCCTTGTATCAATGGTTCAGGCTGGTGGTGGTGTCATGGTGGTGGTGGTTCTTGTATCAACAATTCAGGCTGGTGGTGGTGTCATGGTGTGGTGGATCCGTCCTGGTATCAATGGTTCTGCTGGTGGTGGTGGTGTCATGGTGTGGTGGATCCATCCTGCCTTGTATCAATGGTTCAGGCTGATGGTGATGGTGTCATGGTGTGGTGGATTCATCCTGCCTTGTATCAACGATTCAGGCTGGTGATAGTGGTGTCATGGTGTGGTGGGATCCGTCCTGCCTTGTATCAATGGTTCAGGCTGGTGGTGGTGTCATGGGGTGGTGGATCCGCCCTGCCTTGTATCAATGGTTCACGCTGGTGGTGGTGGTGTCATGGTGTGGTGAATCTGTCCTGCCGTGTATCAATGGTTCAGGCTGATGGTGGTGGTGTCATGGTGTGGTGGATTCGTCCTGCCTTGTATCAATGATTCAGGCTGGTGGTGTCATGGTGTGGTGGATCCGTCCTGCCTTGTATCAACGGTTCTGGCTGCTGGTGGTGTCATGGGGTGGTGGATCCATCCTGCCTTGTATCAATGGTTCAGGCTGA